TGATGATTATATAGAAAATATGTGAGCGAGAGAGAAAGAGAGAAAAAACTAAACTGTCAACTCAAATTGAATGTCAACAGCCATATAAATGTTACATCAACTCAATGAGGCATACAGCTAAAACTTGCCTATAAATAGAGTAAATCCAACACAGAAGCTATTCACATTTCATTCGCCTTCACCTTAACAAGAAAATTGCATAATAAATCTAGCCAAATGCAGAGCTTAAGCTCAGCAAATAAATAGTTAGCAGAGCTTGCGACAACTAAGTGTCTCCCGTTCCCACCCCCATTAGACAACATTTTGTTGTTGCGATTATACTATGCTCAGTTGGCATTGATAAACGTTTTGTATTTGTTTTCGATGTTGTTGTTCCTTTGCCTCTTTTGCAATGCGGAAGCAGAGAGCTTGCAAAGCCGGTTGCCAACAACAACCGCAAGATCGTTGACTGACCTACTCATGCCAGAAAGCTTTCTGGTTTGCCGAGCCGCTCTCACTACGTGCTACGCTCTCCACTCTAGGCTCTCTGCTCTCTCGCACGCTTGCATTAGAACGCGTGCTCTCACTCGCTTTCTGTTGCTCGCTCTAGCACGTGTGCTACGTCTGCCTACGTCTCTCACTCGCTCACACGCTGGCAGCGAACGTCATTTGATTGCATTTCTAAAGCTTCGCTCAGTGCGCAAATTATCGCATAGTTGCTCTGCCGCTGTATTGGTGTGTGAGTGTGGCTGTGTGTGTGTGTGTGTTTGCTTGTGACAGTGTTTGATTTCTTTGTCAGTGAACTTGAGCTTTTGCTGGCTGCGCTAATTGCATTGCGATTACAGCATAGTGTCACTGTATGTGTCTGTGTGTCCGTGTGTATGTGTGTGTGTCTGTGTTTGTGTATGTTGTGGATGATAATGCCGCCCTGCCAGCACCCACAGCACTTTTGCAGTGTTTTGTTTTGCTGCGTTCCGCCTTTTTTCTGCCAAAGCTTTGCGACTTTTGTAATATTTTTTGTTTCACTCGCACATACACACATATTCAATTACAAGCTGCCTTTCTCTCTTCCTCTCTCACTCGACATCTCAATTGTGGACGCTCTTCGGCTTGTTGCTGTTGTTGTTTTAAACTTGACTTAATTAAATTTTTGCTATTTTTCTTTTATTTTTATCTTTTGCCAATTGTCTGTCATTCATTGATTTGCTAGCTTTCCCCAAATACATATAGAATATGTACGTATATTTTATTTGTTTTCCTTTTAGGCCTAGACATAATAGCTAAGGGCTTTTTCATTTCATGCACGCGCTGATCTCTGCTCGCTCAGATAATTTCCAGGTGAAGCTGCTTTGCCGCCTTATAGACAAGTCTAGATATATACTATATACATATATTTGATAGTATATATTATTAAAATCTGTTGAAGTGAGTCGGCGTGTTTCTCATAGTTAATCGATCTTTGGTTAGACACTTGATCTCCACTTTTGATGCGGATGCAGCTCGAGTACTTTTGGCCTAAGAGGCATTCACTTTATATAATTTTTTACTTAACTTTGTCTTAAGTCATTATTAATAATAGTTAAAGAATGACTATTTAGAATTTTATTTATTTATAAAACTCTTGAGTGTTTTTCTTTTAAAGGAAAAGCATTAAATAGAAAACTTTAATTTGTCAAGAGAGATTTTATATTTAATTTAATTTTTAACCGCTTAATGAATTGTTGGATTTATTATTTTTAATTAATTAATTGTTCAAATATATTAGTAAATTAAATTTATTTATTATTTTTAATTTATTTTATGTAAAATACATATTTGTATAAATATATACAAAATTGCATATGTAATATATATTTTTAAAATATATATTTACATTTTAAGTTTATATTTATTACCTATTTTTGCCATAATAATTACTAAATATTTTCGAACCTTTTTTCTGTAGGTTTATGACGCATTCAGCCAGTTGGCCATTAGCTACAAATTATTCAAAGCCGGTCGAATGTTTGTTTTTACTTTAAAAAAAAGTACATATATGTGTATGTATGTATATGAATACTTTGACACAGCTTTAAAAACATCTTACTAGATATTGATCAATATTGATTGAGAGCTATCAAAATGCTTGAAGCTTGTTTGAGCGCTGCAGACAAATTGAATTTAAATGCTATGCAGTGAGCATAGTTAATTATATATACATAGATATATATACATATATACAAGAAGAGATAGAGGAGAGTAGACAGCTTGCTCTCTCTCGCTCACACTTGTCTACTGAGTAGTTGTAACATATGTATTTGTTTATTATTTGCAAGTTGTCAATTAAAATGATTTTACGCTGGCATTTTAGCTGCCTGGCGCATGATCGTACACACACACACACACCAACACACACACACACTCACACTCGGACACACAAGTGCAGAATGCACACGCGCACTCACACTGCGAAGTGCACGAGGTAAAACACACACACACACACACACATACACATAAGCTGACATTCACTCAGTGAGACAGTCGACTCAAACGCTGACGATGACGTTTCAAAATAATAAAAGTAAAATAAAATACAGACGCTGCTCAAAGCATCGACAAAGCGCTCCCCTGCCCAAACAACAAACTAAATAAAATACACATAAATACGAGTATCCAAAAACCGCAAACGCGGCTGCTCAATCGCGTCAAACTAAACGACTTTGACAGTGAATTTAATTTCGAATAGATATTGAAGTATTAAATAAACAGTAAATTAATAATGCATCATTCACTTGAATATTTTACGTTTGAATTTATAAATTCAAAATTATAAAATTTGCAAAATAACAACAATATATAATAAAAAAATTTTAATTCTTTGGTAATTAATAAAATTCAAATAATTAAACACAAAATAAAAGTAAATAAGAGCTTTGGCTAATTTCAAATATAAATATTTAAAATGCATAATTAATAAATGCAAACCCAATAAGCTGCAGGTTTTCTGTAAGTGCATGCCTGTGGCCAGTGTTGCATAACGTTCTATTAGATTTATTTTTCTCAATAGTTCAATCGCAGTTTTTTCGCCGTGCGTTTTAAGCCGCCATTTAGCGCGCTCTCGCCTTTGGGCTCGACGTACGTCAAACACTTTTGGTTGAATGCACTCTTGATTAGCTCTCATTGAATTCTCTCTAATTTCTCTATTTATCTGTTTGTTCGCGTGCCCCCACACGAGTCTAACCGTCCATCAAACAGTTGAGTTCCTCATTTGATAGGAGCTATTTTTATTATTATTTATTTTTGAACTTTTCTGTTCTTACTTTTATTTAGTATTTATATTTAGAATTTCATTTTATTTTCGCACTTTTTATTTTATGTATACTTATTGCCAATTTCAATAAATATATATTTCTGTAATCTTGTTAAAAAACTTCACATATTTTTCAACTGGAATTTTTTCTAGAAACTTTGTATTGATTCAGCATTTTTTGTTAAAAATATTTTAAGATTGTATAATATACAATTTTTGTTGTTTACTTTGCTTAAAATTCAATCGCCAAGCGAGTATAATTTAATGTTTAATTTGTAAAACGGTTTTTGGTAAATTTTTTATCAAACTTAAATATTCTTTGCTTCCTTATAAATTGTTCTTTTTTCTTAATTATACATTTTTTTAGTTATTTAATTTTTGTAATATATTTTTCAATATTTTTCCTTTTATCATATATTTTTATGTTTTCAAGCACTTTTTTTGGTGTTGGTAATTTGATTATAAGATTATTTATTTTTTTTATATTATTAGGCACTTTTTTTTTCTTTTTGGAAATCTGAACAAACACCAAAAGTCGCGCAGGAAGCAAACCAAAACAGCGACACACACACACACACACACACACACGTTGATCAGGCGAGCTGAAAACGTATTTACGATCGAGTTACAGCTGTTTAGTAGTCCGTTAGACACAACGATTAGACTAGAGCGAATGCATTGCTAAACGAGTTATAATGCAGATATATATCCACACACACACACACATGTATATATACATATAAATATAGCCAAGTATTACGTTTGGGCCCTCGCTGTGGCGCCTCTGAACTGTATGTATGAACGAATGAAGCGAGAGAGAGAGACGCGTTGTTGGGGCTCGTTGTCGCTGCGCGTGTCAAAATCTAACTGAAAGAAAAAGGCCCCAAAAACCGCTGCCGACACGAGAATTGCAATTTCTAAGCTGCGACGCGCTCACAAATGAAACCAACAACAAGCTGACTGTGTATATACATATATATATAAATATGTGTGTGTGTGTGTCTGTGGATAAGCGTCGAGCGAGCACAAAATGCAACGAAATGCAACCAAATTGCGAGCGCTGGCCGAGCGAACAACAACAACAGCAAAACGTTCTCATCACACACACACACACAGGCACAAACACTCTCTCGCACACACACACACACACACACAAGGCGCTTTAGCCGGCACTCGCTGCTGGCGCACGGCGCGTATACGCGATATGCGCGCACGTTCTCTGCCTTAGCGCTGATGAGCGTGTCGACCCGGCTATTATTTAATATTACAAACACAGCACTCTCTCTCCCTCTCTCTCTCTCTCTCACACACACGATCGTCGACAGCGCTGCCTGGCTGACTTTAGCTTTATCGCTGACATTTACAGTTGCATTAACAGTTATCAGCCAGGCGCAAGGTAGATGTTTGGCGTAAGGACGCCAAATGCCGTGCATTAGACTCCCTCTATATATACATACGTCCCTACAACTGTATCACTCTTCCCCTCTCTCTCTCTCTCTCTCACTCTCTGTCTCTCTTCCTCTTTCTCGCTCTCTCCCTCTCTTTCTCTCTCTCTCTCTCTCTATCATCGTACTACGCTCTTCTTTTGGCTCAGTTTAAGGTCCATCGGGTCTTGTTGCCGATCTTGGCGTAGGTTAAGGCAGACGGAAGTCTCTAATTATCATGCGCTGCCATTGGCATTAACGGAGTAATCATACCCTTTGCCTTCGAGTCGTCTGGCGAGCATATTTATTCAGTAAACGTGTAACGAACTTAATTCCAGTTTAATTGTAAATTAATTATAATATATGTATTTCTATTTATAAAACAAAATCTCGGCGACGTTATACAATATAATTTAGAGAAGATAAAAGAATGCTTTAGAATGTAAACTAAGAGAGAGAGAGAGAGAGAGAGAGAAGAAGAGAGAGAGAGAGAAAGAGAGAGAGTGAGATTTAAAGTAAAGAATAGAGAGAACGAAAATGGGAGAAAAAAACAGAGGGAGAATTGAGACACAGCGAAATTTTCCCTATTGAAAAAAATCACGGATAAAGCAGAAGATGGAGAAAATGTTGGGTAGATGAATTAGGGAAGAGAAAAAGGAGAGGCAATACAAAATAAGAAAGAGAGAAGCACGTATAATTACAGAAAAAGAGACAGAGAAATAAAGACAGCAAAAGCAGGGATACAATTCTAATGAGACAGAAAGAGACTGACAAGGACTTAAAAAAAAAAACAAAACTAAACAATATTTAATGAGTTCATTTATATAATTCACTCATAAATCAATCATTTAAGATATTGATCTTTAACTCTCCCTTCCGGAATTTTAGGAAACTGAAATATTACAAAACAATGGAAATTCAGCATTTTTTTCTCAACTTTCGCGAGTGAAATGCCCCCGATCATATTTATGCTCTCTAAGAGCATCCATAAGTCATTCACTGGACCCTCGCAGCATCTTCATTCCGTTATCTTTTGCGTATGCTAATGAGTGCTATGAATATTTCATAAACGAAGCTGCGAAGATGCCACAGATAAAGAAAGCAAAAGAGTACAAATCCAAAATCCGAGGAAGAAACATTGAAATAACCTTAAAAACAAATCTGAAACTTTGCATAGATATGCGAACTTTGTAAACTTTACTTTTTTTTGGCATATCAAATGATCGATGCAAATGCGACTTGAAAGTTTCATCAATTAGCATATTGATCAGATTTGGACTCTATATATTTCGTATTTATAATATGCTGAAGTAATAGTTGCGATTTGCATATTACACAGCGGAATTTTGTTTATCGAGTTTTATTGGGGTTTATGCAAGACAGGATATATTGAGATTGTATATAGTGCAGTGCCCATATATATATATATCTATCTATATATATACATATATATATCGGAGCAAGTGTTAAATATTTATGGACCGTAGCCCGGCAAATCGTATGCCTTGCATTTCAGCTCTATCAATGCTTCTACTGGGTGGCTTTTCCATTTTCTCGTAGCGTTGAACTCCAAAGTCGAAGGCTAGATGCCAGATGCTAAGTGCTACATAGGCGAATGCATTGCAATATCATTAAACCCAAAAAGAATAGCAAAACCAAGCCAGAATTGTGCAACGAGGCGTAACTGACAGCATAATACTCGCTTACGGCGTTACGGCAATAGAAATTGATAAGAAATTTGATTGATGTGCCGACATTTGATATTTTGTGGATCTATTTATGGGATGTTTGATTGTTGAGAAGATTTAGATAACTTTATATTTGTAGAGCAGTTGTAAGAATCTTAGAGCGTAAGGCTTGTTAATCTAACTAACTGTATAGTTTATATATACCTTTATACTAATAATGGTGGCATGCTTTCATAACAGTATTACCTGTCAATAACAAGCTAACCTCTAGTATTTCCTCAGTTTTTTTTATTCGAATCTCTCCCATTTCTAAGGCAAAATATCTTTAAAAACTTCTTTGTTTATTATTATTATATATATTCTTAATATTTGTAAAGGATATATGTGGGAATTGCCAATTTTTAGAGTTCATAAGGATAGTTTTAACTAAATATCCATTTAAAATGAGATTACGTAGGATAAGTACTTCCAGTTTTAGTTCCTTTATTTCTTTCATTTAAATAAATCAATAGGAACTTCTAGAAGTGCAAAACCAATATACTCGTACCCTTTCCAGTTCCTGAGTTTGCGAGTGTACAAACTCTTAAGACTGCTTCGAGGAACCTGAAGAAACAAGCATATATAACATACATATATATCCCACATTTCTAGAAGGCAACCTCAATAGAAACAACAGAGATTACATAAAGCCAATATACTCCGCCCACTTCGTCTAACGGGCATGAACCGAAAAGTTGAAGAAAAACTGTACAGTTTTGTGGCTTGGCGAATGTAAAAGATTTTGTTTTCCTTTTTAGTTGATTTCTTTAAATAGACTGCAAAAATGCGAATAGAAAATCAATTGAATTCTTGTTTTTTTTTTTTTTTTTCATTTATGTATCGAAGATATTCTTTTTATTTGTATTTTTGTTGTTATTTTCTCAATTTTTTCCGTTTATAAATTAGACACAAAAAACGTTTACAAATTATGTTTGAAATTTCTTTTCGTTTTGCTTTTTTTTTTAGTTTTTTTCTCTTTTTCTTTTTAATTATAGATTGTATAAAATTACATAGCTAGGTGCTAAATGTGTGTGTGTGTATGTATTAAAATTAAATTCGTGATCGTATAAGAAGAAGATGCTTGTTTATGCTCGTTTATAAGGCGTAAATTTAACAAAGTCCTAACTATATACAAGTACCGCTATATATTTGCATGTATATATATATATAATATATGTATATTTGTAGTTAAATGAGCTGACTGGCAAAGCAAATTGTTGTTTTTAAAATTCATTTGCTTTACAAATACAAAAACAGAAGAGCAACAAAAAATATAAACAATTGAAATGAGGCATGAGGCATTGGCTTAAAGCTAATTAAATTAGTTTAATTGCTATTTAAAGTTTGTCGTGTGTGTGTGTGTACGTGTGTGTGTGTGTGTACGTGTGTTTGGGTGTGTTGTTTATAGGAATGCGGACTTTAGATACAGATACAGATATAGATATGGTATATACATACATACATACATA